TGGCAATGCAACATTGGGTAGGAATTGAACCACCGCGATTGCGCGCAAGTGCATGTTGCGCGTGCGCATGCGTGTGTGTGTGTGTGTGTGTGTGTGTGTGTGTGTGTGTGTGTGTGTGTGTGTTTGTGTGTGTGTGTGTGTGTGTGCGTGTGCCACCCTGAAGCTAAGAGACTCCGATTTGAATTTGCAGCACAAAAAAAATCAAGGGGCACCGGGGGCTCCAACGAGTCCGGCGCTAGCAATGACGCTTGTTGGATGCCTGTGATATGGGAGCTGATCACCCCCACGTACCCGCACCGAGTATGGCGACCAGGCAAAGCCACAAACCTGGATTTTCCGGAATGGCACGGGGTAAAGCCAAAAACCCCTCAAAAGAGAGCAGACTGTACAACCCATGTTTGATTTCGGTCATTCGAGGATCAAATCACGTGTTGAACGAACAGTGGATGCGTTTTCGCAGTCTTGGCTATAGTTTTGGACTGCGTCTTTGCCTTTTCACTGGTCCATAGGGCACAAGATTGCTCCAGCCTTCTACTTCAATCGACATTGCACTGCCGAGTAAATGCGTTTTAGTATACGCTTGTCTCTGGTGCACCACATGTCTTCTGCTTGCGATCCGTTGGCGGCGCTGCAGCGCTGGATTTCGTACACTCAGCATGAGGTTTTGCAAATGAAGCGAGAGCTTCATGAGCATCGTCAAGAAGTGCTTGCTACACAAAGGATTCAGCAAGGATTCAGCAGCAGCAGTTAGACAGTCTGCAATCACAGATCCGAGATGGGCAACAAGTTGCTGCTGAGATCAGCGGAGCTGTTACCGAGCTGTTTCAAAAGTTGCAGAAAACTCATAGGGATCCTTAGGGGTGTAGGGGGCCTTAAGACCCATAATAAGGACTAATAAGGCCTATTTAAGGAAATATAGTCCCCTACACCCCTCCCCCTACACCCGTAAGGATCCCTATGAAAAACACAGGACCTGCTTGCCCAGCTGCTCAACGATTTTGCTTCCTTTTGAGGGAGTACTGGTCAATCAAATGCGCCGAGAGAAACGATTGCTGAGAGTATTCCTGCCACGCAGCCCTATGAGTGAATGTGAGCCTGAGTACATCAGCACTTGTGGACTTTTCGATAGCATGCTTTCGAGTCAAAGAAAACCAGTGTGAAGCAGAGGTTGCAGTGCACACTGTCATAACAGCTGATTGTCGCAGCGTATGTTGCTCGACTGTCTCCGTAGTTAGGAGCGAACGTTTTTTCGTGTCTCGGACCATTTGGGAACTCTGCCCGCTCAATGACCGCATTCTCAGCTTCGTGATCTTTCGGTACCTGTCTACTTCTTCTACCAACCTGCTGCACAGCACGGTAGCGGACTTCCCGCCTCGGAAGAAACAGATGCATCCATGTTGTCTGCGGTTATGAGAGCACAAGCGCGCATGGAAATGCAAGGACGAAGGATTGTTGAAAGACTTCGTCAAAGGGTTTTGGCGAGTCGAGTGAGAGCTCAGCAGTTTCACTACACTATCCATCCAATGTTCATCCAGAATCAGGCCGTATTCGTTCCTGTAACAACTTTGTCTCGCGCGCACGCGCACACACACGCTTGAGTCGGGGTCAAGTTGACATGGACATCGCGAAATTCACATCGCAACGTCAATCGATGGATCATGGAAGCACTGACGTGGCAATCTCAATCGATGGCTCACGGAATAACATGACCTTGCAACCTCATGAACATACGCAGGTACGTAGGCGTGGCGTCCCACTCCTATGTCACAGGTCAGGATGGGTGTCTTCGTTGGCACCTGCCCCATCCTTCCCCCAGGTGCCCCCTGCGGAGAAACTTTTCTTTGTGATTTATTCAACACAGTAAGAACCCCAGGGGGGGGGGTAACGTACGTACGTACGTACCTCGGGTACGTACGTTAGTACGTTATAGTACGTTAGTACGTCAGTACGTTAGTACGTTAGTGCGTCGTCACACCGACAGGAGTACCTGAGTAGGGGGGGTAGGTACCTTAGTACTTTAGAACGTTGGAAGTACCGTGGTAGGTAGGTAGATAGATAGGTAGGTAGGTAGGCAGGAAAAATTTTGGGCAGGGCGGGCGGAGGTATGTATGTACGTACGTTAGTACGTTAGCGCGTTAGCACGTTAGTACATGTACGTTAGTACGTTAATACGTTAGTACGTATGTACGATCGGACCTGAGCACTTTAGTACGTTGGCAGTACGGTAGGTAGGTAGGTAGGTGGGTAGGTAGGTACGTGCATACTTTGCTGCCTTCCCTCGAAAAAAAATTTGGTAGGGGGGGGGAGGGAGGTATGTATGTACGTACGTTAGCACGTTAGTACGTTAGTACTTTAGTACCTTAGTACGTACACAGAGGTGCCTTCGGACCGTAGTACTTTAGTTGGTAGTAGGGTGGTAGGTAGGCAGGTAGGTAGGTAGGTACCTACGTACATACCTTCCTGCCTTCCCCCCCGCAAGACAAAAGTACGGCGGGGGGGGGAAGGAGGTATGTATGTATGTACTGCCAACAGGTGCCGTCGGACCTTAGTACTTCAGAACGTTGGTAGTACGGTGGTAGGTAGGCCTATGGGTAGGTAGGTAGGTAGGTACGCAGAAAGAAATTTTTGGCAGGGGGAGGGAGGAGGTATGTATGTACGTACGTTAGTACGTTAGTACATTAGTACGTAAGTACGTGCGCAAAAAAATTTGTGGCAGGGGGGGCAGGGAGGTATGTATGTACGTACGTTATAGCGCGTTAGTACGTTAGTAGAGTAGTACGTTAGTACGTTAATACGTTAGTCAGTAGTATGTTAGTACGTTAGTACGTTATCATGTTAGTACCTGAGTACGTTAGTACGTGCGCATGCAGGTACGTTGGGACCCAAGTATTGTAGTCGTACGTTGGCAGTACGGTAGGTACCTTAGTACTTTAGAACGTTGGCAGTACGGTGGTAGGTAGGTAGATAGATAGGTAGGTAGGTAGGCAGGTACGTAGAAAAAATTTTCGGCAGGGGGGGAGGTATGTATGTACGTACGTTATAGTACGTTAGGACATTACAGGACGTAAGTACGTGCGCAAAAATATTTTTGGCGGGGGGGGGGGGAGGTATGTATGTACGTACGTTAGTACGGTAGTACGTATGTACGTTCGGACCTAAGCACTAAATTTAGTACCTTGGCAGTAGGGTAGGTAGGTAGGCAGGTAGGCACGTACATATGTTGCTGCCCCCTCGAAAAAAATTTGGTAGGGGGGGGAGGGAGGTATGTATGTACGTACGTTAGTACGTTAGTACGTTAGTACGTTAGTACGTTAGTACTTTAGTACGTTAGTACGTTAATACGTTAGTACGTTAGTACGTATGTACGTTCGGACCTCAGCATTTTAGTACGTTGGCAGTACGGTAGGTAGGTAGATAGGTAGGTAGGTACATACCTTGCTGCCTCCGCCCGAAAAAAAATTGGACGGGGGGGAGGGAGGTATGTATGTACGTACGTTAGTACGGTAGTACGTTAGTACTTTAGTACGTTGGTACGTTAGTACGTTATAGTACATTAGTATGGTATACCTTAGTGCGTGCGCACGTATGTACGTTCGAACCTGATATACTTTAGTACGTTGGTCGTACGGTAGGTAGGTGGGTAGGTAGGTTAGGCGGTAGGTACATACGTACGTACCTCCGACCAAGAATTTTGGCGGTAGCAGGCAAGATAGGGGAGAAGCATGCATGCAGGGGTCGCGCGGGTGGGGGGGGGAGGGATGTATGCTCGTTTTTGGGGGGAGGGGGGGGGTACGTGTGTATTTGTCTGTATAGACGCCAACCACAAAAGTTGCGCAGAAGGAGTCTTGTGTTCTGTACGCTACCCGGTGGGGGGAGACGTGGGAGCTAGGTACCTACCGGGGGGAACGTACCTACATGCGCACGTACTAACGTACTCATGTAGTAACATTAGCACGTAAAACTACGTGAGCGAAAAAAATTTGGCATGGGGGGGAGGCAGGTATGTATGTACGTACGTTAGTATTTTAGTACGTTAGTACGTTAGTACGCTAGTACGTTAGTACGTTAATACGTTAGTCAGTAGTGCGTTATAGTACGCTAGTACGTTAATACGTTAGTCAGTAGTACGTTATAGTACGTTAGTACGTTAGTATGTTACTACATGAATAGGATAGTACGTGCGCATGCAGGTACGTTCGGACCTGAGTACTTTATTAGTAGGTTGGCACGGTAGGTACTGTACTACTTTAGAACGTTGGTAGTACCGTGGTAAGTAGGTAGATAGATAGGTAGGTAGGTAGGTACGTAGAAAAAATTTTTGGCAGGGGGGGGGATGTATGTAGGTACGTACGTTAGTACGTCAGTACGTTAGCACGGTAGTACGTCAGTACGTCAGTACGTACGCACGTTACTACGTTAGTACGTATGTACGAACGGACCTGAGCACTTTAGTACGTTGGCAGTACGGTAGGTAGGTAGGTGGGTAGGTAGGCACGTACATACCTTGTTGCCCCCCCCGAAAAAAACAATTTTGGGGGGGAGGGAGGTATGTATGTACGTACGTTAGTACGTTAGTACGTTAGTACGTTAGTTGGTGCCTTAGTACAGGTATGTATGTATGTACGTACACAGAGGTGCCTTCGGACCGTAGTACTTCAGTTGGTAGTACGGTGGTAGGTAGGTATAGGGAGGTAGGGAGGTAGGTAGGTAGGTAGGTACCTATGTACACACCTTCCTGCCTCCCCCCGTAGAATCTAGATATAGTCCAGCGTCTTCGAAAAGTCCACTGGACGGCATTTGCGCCATCGCCTTGCAACTTATTGTTGCGAACAACTACGAGAGGTATGTACACGCAAAAAGCACTAAGCACAGCCACAAGATCGTGGCACAAGGCCTGTGCACATCAAGCAGAAAAATCAGCCAGCACTGAGAAGCCGCGTCACAGCAGCAGTACACGTGAACCCAGGGCAAGGCCTACACTAACACAAAGAACCCACACCCTAGGGAAGGGAGGGAGGTGGCACAGCAAGTCCAAGTGGCCGCTCACCTGGCTTCAAAGCAATGCTGCGAAGGTGGCACGAAAGTCTTTCAGCCGCAGCCGCGGCGATTCTGACAGTTTTGACCTCCCAGGCGGTCACCTCCTCAACTCTTGCATTGCGCATGCCACCGGGCCCGCAACGAACCCTGCATTCTGCGTTCCATGCAGCGTCTAGCAGCCACATCCGCCGACTCGTTGAGAGCACGAAGAGTCGCAGCAGAGTGAGGCTCAGGCGGCGCCCACTTCAGCTGTTTCCCATGAGACGGGACCCACAAGAATGTACACGTGAGGCCCTGGTGGGCCGACTGCGCGAAAAGGTCAAAGGCAGCACGAGCCAGACCTGGCAAATCAGAAGAGTGGCCAGATTGACAAGCAGAAATCGCCGCAAGGCAGTCAGATACAACGAAAAGTTCGCGTTGCATGGAGAGCTTATCAGAAACTTCACAGCAGACAGTAGCAAGCCAAAGCAAAGCTTGCATCTCAGCTTTGAAAGCAGACTGGTCCTCATCACCCGTCCCTGCTGCAAAGCTGCTGTGCTCAGTCACATGCTGCCCGAAGACAATGGCTGACGCAGCAATGTCGTTGCGAGCACTGCCATCCGTGGCAGCGTACAGAAGCCCATCGGCTTTGAGCGACTCAGAAGCACCTTCCGACAGCTCCTGGAGGAAGTCGCTGAGATCAAGAGCAGGAGTCGGCGGCGGGAAGTCCACCACCTCCTTCGCAAAGAGGCCCTCTTCGGCGCGATTTACTGGCAGCTCATGCCCCACGCGCAGGTCTTGCGTCACAGGGCAGGCCCACGTGAGGTGCGGCCTCGAAGGCCTGGACTCACCACAAAGGCAGAGCCAGCGTCGATGATCAGCAGGAAAGGCACCTCCGGCATTGAAATGCCAACACGAACCCCCAGAACCGAAGCTAGCAAGGTGTTGGGCTCGGCCACCAGTCTCAGACGCAGCAACGCCGTGCCCTCTGAAAAGGTACACACCATTACGGGGCGGGGCCGGTAGGTCAAGCCCAGTAGCACACTGCTCGTCGTCGCTCCTGTGGAAGGAGCGCCACAACCTGCCACACTTGTCAACGCACAAGGCCCTAAAGTGAGCACTCAGCCAACGACGTCGCCCGGAGCAGTCGCGCCGCACCACTGCGCCAGCTTCAGGCTCGTATGTCCACTTCAGGATCTGGAGCCAGCGAGGAATCTCCGGCAGGAGCTCATTCCAAGGAGGAAAGGCTTCAGTTAGAGGAACTGTCTCCACCCAGTTGGGAGGCGCTGCCAAAAAGCGAGCCAACGTGCGAAAGGCACTACGACACAGCATCATCTGCGGATGGAGCTTCCAACCCAGCTGCTCCCACACCAAGACTTTCGCACGATGGACGCCGAAACGATCATCGAAGAGGTGCAGGAGTTCGTTTCCAGGGCATTCAGCTCGTCATCCGACGGAGCCGCATAGGCCGAAGTCCAGGAAACCATGGGAACAACCAAGCTCTGCACGATATGCTTGCGATCGCGAAGAGAACGAGAGCACCAGCGGAGCCATCGAAGGCGAAGCACTGCTCGGCGAAGCACAAACTTGAGCAAAGACCAAGCTCCTCCGAAGGTGCAAGAAACACCCAGTATCTCAAGATGATCACTGACGCTGAAGGAGTGTTTGTCAGCAAGGGCAGCCCACTCCTCAGTCGCCTCACTTGGGTAGACCGCACACTTCTCAAGCGAAAGCTTGAAGTTGAAACACTCATCGAACTCGGCAGACCGGCATAGCACTGCGTCCAGGGCCTGAACAGGAGCACGGGCTCGAAGGAACAGCAAGCGGTCGTCCATGTAGTTGAGTCCCGAAACATGCTGATGGGCCCCATGGAGAACGTACTTACACCACACGTGAGCAATTGCAGCAGCGAGGCACGGGCTGAAGGGGCAGCCTTGCGGAATGCCCTGGCTGGGCACAAACCGTTGACCGTCGTAGGCCCCCTCACACACAAAGGTCCGGCAGGACTGCTTGTAGAAAGTCAGCAGCAACTTGAGCAACTCCAAGGGAAACCGAAGGTGTTGAAGAACAGCACTTAAAGAATCCCATTGGATAGAATCGAAGAAGGCTTTAACGTCAAGTTGGACAAAGCCCTTAGACTTATTGCGAAAGGCAGCCTGGATTTGGGCAAGTGCAGCCTCAACAGAGGCTCCAGGAAGGCCCCCGGCATCATGGCCCGATTGCCACTCGCTAATCCACGGCCTCAGACGGCGCTGTAACACACTGGCGCCAGCACGCCACAACACTTGGCACAAAGTCAACGGACGACTACCACCCTTAGGTTTGGGAATCAGCACCGTGGTGGCACAAGACCACTGCGTGGGCACTTGCCCTAGCTGCACGCATCTGTTCCACAGGTCTGCAGCACGTCTCCAAAACGGAAGCGGGAGCAACGCCAAAGCTTCTGGAGTCCACGAGTCAGGCCCAGCCGCACGTCCTTTCATGGCTTGCACCGCTTGCTTCAAGTCAGTAGCATGCAGCACTAGGTCACATTTGATATCAGCAGGCCTGGGCACACACTCAAGGATGGCACAAAGCTTAGCAGGGTCAGCATGCGACTTGGCAGTCCGCATGACACTCCAAGTTTTTGCTTCGACCTTGACGCGCTCGGCTGGATGAGTCACCAGATCAGCTGGGGCAGCCAACGGCAGCTCCTTTTCCCAATCCAGCTGAGCTTCAGCTCGCTTCTTGACGAAGCCACGGATGTTGCGTGAAGATTCCATCCTCGTTTTCCATAGCTGACTCCTTGCCTTATCCTCCTGTTCCTGGAGCTGCTTGACAGTGACATCCACGTACTCCAGCAGTTGCAGCTCTTCCCCAGGGGGAAGAAAAGGCACGTGAAAGCCTCTCGCACGCAGACGACTGATGCAAGGAAAGATTTTGGCGCGAAGTTGCGAGTCCCAAGGCCGGAACTTCAAAGCGCGAAGCTTTGCAAGCAGCTTGCGAAACCGGGCCAAGGAGTCAGACGACTCCAGGCGGCGCGCGGGCCGCGATTTGTCCGGCACAGGGCTGGGCAGCCAATCCTCATGTCTTGGTACACTGCCTTGACGAAGCTCTCCACAGAGAGCCTGCTCAGCGACAGCTGAGAGGGAGGTCCAAGCATCATCAAGGCGGCAGTCATCAAGGGCACACTCAAAGCAATGAAAATCCGCTGAAGCGAAGAAGACCTCAAGATGCTCCTGCGACACATTCTTGAACGGTGCTCTGGCAGGCTTGGTCAAAGGCACGGGGAATCGCTCAGGAAACCTGTAGCTGACACAGAGGTGGTCAGACTCCGCAAACTCAAAATGCGTAACCTCAGTAGGCGCAAGTCGCCAGTCGTGTATGGCATAGTCAATGCGCCGCCGACGCCCCGGACCCGTGCAGGGAAGAGGCTGCCCGCGAGCACAAGCATCACCAGGCACCGCCATGCCGCAAGCAAGAAGCTCGCCCATCGCGCCCTCACCTGCCTCCATGTTGAAGTCACCCAGGACGACAAAACGACATCGCGCGCGCAGGATGCCCGCAACAATGTCGCTGAGCTGGGCATCAGCAATCTGAGGATTGCCAGCTTGGCAGTACGTGGCCACAAGAAGCAAAGGTTCAGATCTGCCCTCAGAATTGGTGACATTGACAATACCAGCAGCGTGCCTTGAGGCGCCGGCACCGGTGCAGACACGAACAGGCTTAAACGGAACCCGACTAACAAGAGCCACCCTAGCCTTACCGTTCTCAAGCGCACTCAGCGAAGCTTTGTAACCCTGAGCTTTCCATTGGGCCAAATAGCCCGGGCAGGCCGCGGCGGCAACATCCACTTCAAACAAAGCGAAGAAGTCCGAAGGGAATTTCGAAGTCGACTCGCAAAGAGAGCTGACTGTGGAACATCCCTTTTTAGCAACATTTACTGCGGTAAAGGAGATCACACCTGGCAAACCTTAAGCGCCTTGCACGCCTGGCCAATGGCGTCCTCGACTCGCATACGGTAAGAGCCGGAATCTTAGGCAGCAGATCTCGCAGCTTGAGCACTGCCTGGATCCGTCTGTCAGCGAGCAGCTCAGGCTTGCTGGGGCACTCCTTCTTGCGATGCTTCTCAGCTTTTTCTTAACATCTCTAAAAGGAGTATGGCAAAGGTTGCACCGCCACCCTGTGAGAATGCGAACAGGAGCAGTTTTGGAAGCGGGCACTTTGAGGCGCGGCCACGGAAAGACTGCGAAGTCCAGCTTTTCCAGCCGCGCAATGACTGGCAGCAGTTTGATGCGAGCCGCGGTCCTCTTCGTTTCCTGCATTCGCCTAATGCTGCCAGCATCGTTCTTACGAGCCCGAGTCCAAGTCTTCCATCCAATGTTGGGATGCTCTAGCTTCTTGTGTTCATTCTTCCACCGCAACACAACCTTACTGCAAACATCAGCCTCACACCGGGCTATACCCTTGCTGCAAAATTTGCATGTCCAGTGCGTAGGTTCGCCTGCTTGCAATACTCGCACAGGAGACGGGCGAGGTGTAATCAAATCAGGGATCACCGGCTCGCCAGGGTGGGCCCTCCGAACATGCTTTCGAAGGGCCTTGTAAGCACTCGTAGCAGAGTCTTTCATGCACTTGAAAGGACAAAGGCGACATCGTGCCACTCCGTCGTGACATCCTGTCCTGTCCCAGTACTTGCGCTGTCGCTCAGTAGCATTGCTCCAGCCCATGTTTTTGCGCGTACGCCTGGGTGGGTCGTCATTGAGTCGTCATCAGCTCCATCCCAAGCAACAAGGTCAGCAAGAGGCGCAATGTCTTCCTCATCCTCAGGGAGCGGGGCGAGGCAGCTAAGCGACCTCTCCCGCGCGGCCTCCAAAGACAAAACCTCAGCAGTGCTCGGTTCACAGGGTTTGCGGCATTTGCGCTTCGCGGCGCACAATGCAACAGAGGCCTGTGCAGCAGCCCGCTTGCCAACAGCAACCTTAAGCGCACCAGCAGCCTGAGACCTAGCCTGGGCACCTACAGCAGCCTTGGACCTTTTGAAATGGCAGCCTGAAAGGTAGACGCACTGGAGGCAGAGCACGCAGCAGACATCCCGGCTCTGCGCTTCGACCCGGCGGTAGCCACTGACGTCTGGGCCTGCGACATGCCTGCCCCCCGGCGCACAGTAGAGGCATCAGACACGGAGTAGGAGCAGGCCTCTGACACACCTCCAACTAGAAAGCCGCCATTGGGATCGGCGACGGTGGCCGAGATCTCACGAGGGTAGGCCTCGCCATCAGGCTTGATGAAATCAAAGTGCCTGTCTTTGAAGTAAATGGCACTAACATCCTTTTGCTTGGTCTTCCCATAAGAGCAGACCCGCCAATTGGGGTCGGCAGGCACGATCACGATGCGCACTGAGAAGAGTCGACAGAGAGCCATCAGCTCGATCTCTCCGCTGTAGCGTCCAGGGATCGCGATTTCGCGGATGAAAGCATCCCAGTCGTCCAGCGGTGTTCCTGCCGGGCCCGGCCGCCCGTCTGCTTTCCACGCAGCCTCATAATCATCCTTATGCTTACTCAAATGCTCGGCTACACGCGCACGGAGGTCAAGGTGATGAAATGAGTTCGGCTGTTTGCCAAGCCATCTCATAACTTCGCCGAAACTATGATAGAGGCAGTTGCCGTCTTTCGCCACTGCATGCTGTGAGCATCCAGCCGGGATTTCACGCACAGTCACTTTGGCCCGTTTGGCAGCTCCTTCTTCCTTCTTTCCCTCCTCCTGCTTCTCGCCCACGCCCTGCTGGCCAGTAGCAACATCTGGGCTGCCGGCATTGCCACCTGACGTGTCCATCGCCTGGCAAGTCTGGTCGGTAGCATCAGCAGTCACTGCAACGGTCTGCGTCACCGGCGTGAAAAGGTTCTCGGCGGCCTCAACATAGGGCATCGAGCCGCCTCGGAGGCGCTTCTGCTTTACCTGCTCCTGGCGCGCCGGGGCAAGAGCAGCCCAGAGCATAACGCGACCAGAATCGCCATCCTGAGTAGGGATCGGAAGCAGGTCGCAGTCGGCTCCTTTCTTGGCAGCACCACGGAAGTAGAACGTTTTCTCAGCACCACGCACCGACTGTCTGATGAGCTTGACTTCATCAAAGTGGGCCTTCACTATATCAGTAGCCTGGACCATGTCCCAGTGTCTGGGACACCCGCTGAGCGTCCAGATGCATCGGAATTTCGTGTCGGCGGTGATGGGCTTTTTCCAGCCCAGCCTCGCGCCGTGGCAAGCCAAACCGACAGACTGCAGTCGCGAGGCTCTAGCAAAGTAGTCACGGTCAGCCTCCTTGGGGAGCCTGTCGATCCATTCGACGACGACATTCTCTCGCTGGCCGGCAGGAGGATAGACAAAAACTCCACCTTCACCAGCTCGACTGAGCAATGTGGGGATATCAGCTTTGGGAGCACGCAAAACACCAAACACCTGTCGCATATCCTGGCCGACCCTCTCCTCAGACCATCGCCACGAGTCGGTTATGGACGTGCTGCTCAGTTGCCCAGCTCGCTAAAGCATGTTTCGGGTGCTTTAGGAATGCCTTCCAGCGCTCAGGAGAGACGAAAGCCTGTGGAATTTTAGCAAACAAAACCGCAGTTTCTTTAGCTTCAACTTTGTGTTCAGCCCCGATGCCCCTGGGCTGGGGAGGCCCTTGCCCAGCAGACACACACTGAACAGCCAAACCTTCCCTGAAGCGGATGATGGCTCCGACCTTGCCTGGGATGGACTGCTTCACACCTGCTTCTTTCGTCAAGTCACGGTCTTGCAATTGCTTCTTAGAAAGGTCAACCGCAACAAGAAGAGTTGAGAAGTCACGACATGACGAGGTGAGGATTCGCTTGGCAATGGGGATCTCAGCAGCCTTGCAATGGATCACCGCCTCAAACGGCCTCTTGGGATCTGCAGCCTCAAACTTTGATGCAAAATCTTCAAACTTGATCAAAGGGCTGCTCCAGTCTTGCGGTCGGAGGGAAAATTCCTCATCCTTGGACGGCCTACGCTGCACAACCTGCCACTCATCCTCACTCGTAGTCTTGGGAGCAGGAGCAGGACTGGCAATCGGAGCCTTGCTTTTGCCTTTGCCCTTCCCTTGCCCTTTGCCTACGCCCTTGCCATTGGAACCACTATCACTATCACCGTAGCTCTGAGCAGCCGGAACTAGCCCGGCCGGTCTCTGCGTGCCTGCTGCACCACCTTTTTTCAGGGCAGCCTGCTTGAGCTTTTGCTTCTTACGCTTCTTGGCTTTGGCACTGAGTCCCAGAGCCTGCACTCCAGATGCCCCAGGCATGGAGCTCATAACTTCAGCAACAAGTTGTTGAATCAAGTCTTTCAGCATGGCTTTTAGATCAAACCCGCAACCTTGAAGGAGTCCCTGCAACGCTGAGGCCGCTGGCTTTGGTCCTGGGTGGCTTGCCTCCCCGACTCTGACACCAACATAGGGGTTGTGATTGGCTCCAACGCCAGGGCACAAGGTCGCGCCCTCGCTCACACTTGCAATAACCATGTCACGCAACCTGACCTGAGCACTGGCAGCGCGATCCTGAGTCAAGCAAAAGCACGCACTACTCACAGGAAACCCCCAACAAGGAAACCCAAGAGGAGAGGACCTAGAACCCAACGGGGAAAGGGAGAGTCGGCAGTCATCCTCCGCCCAAAAGGCAAGCTCCTCGCCCAACAGCCCTGGACAGATGTTGCATCGGTTGCCAGCTAGCTGGCTGCACTTATCGCACTCGGTCAGGCAGGGCGCCCTCCGTCTGCTCACATCACCCGCAATGAAGCCACCCTGCTCATGTGAAACACACTGCACTTTCACTGCCCTGTCACGGGTCACTTCTCTACTTGAATTAGTAAGATCACTATCACTACCATTCTTTGCCCTTCGCGGGTCTTGTATCTTGGTCCTTGGGTCCGGTCCCTTGCTACAGAAACAGAGCTCGCTCACAATATCACCGCCTTGCAAACCAAGCAGCCGCGCATCATCAATGGATGTTCCTGGACCTTTTGGGGGACAAGGTTGCGCAGCTGCCCAGCGCCTACCAGGAACAATGGCGCAGTCCGCAGCACCACTCTCGCAAGCGCTTCCGGAGGCCCAGCCAGCACAGCATTGGGTAGCATCATCGCTGAAATCGCAGCAATCATCAGCACACCAGACTAGGCAGCGACACTCGTTCTGCTCCTTATCAAAGAAGAACTGGCCGCCATCATCAGCAGCCCCGCTGTCAATTGATTCACTGTCCAAAGACCCATCGCAGCTCTTGCCAGCAGCACTCGTCGAAACGCACGCACAGCCTTCAGAGCCCAGTTGCACACAGAAAGTCTGACCACCTGCCGCATCCTGATTCACCACACTCAGGTCGCAGAGGCGATCACAACCATAGCGCGCTGGCTGCTCGCAGCAGCCATCTTCTCCAATTCCCAAAGCACTCTCGGCTAATTGGCCAGAAGCATTGTTGGATTTGTTGTTGTTCTGAGCCGCCCCACCAGCATCGGTGCAGCACACAGCCTCCAGAATTTCAGGTGCCTTGGGGTGCACAGCATACTGAAGCAGACCGAAGGTCCACTTGCTCTGCCATGCCCGTCTCGACGCCATGACCCACAGATCGAGGCCACGAGGACTCGATGGGAGCCCCATTCTCCAAGCATTTATCTGCTTGACCCTATTGTCACTGGCTTGCAGCAGCTTCCCGGCATCACCCACAACAGCGATGAAGCCAACGATGGTTTTCTGCAGCAACTGATCCTCTCCAATCTCGCCCCAGAGACCTAAGAAGGTAAGCTCCTGCAGGTTCGCTAGGGGAGCCCCTAGCAAGTCGCTCGGCAATATCTCACGACAAAAGGATTTGGATCCAGTCCCCGAAGAAGCTGGAGCCATGGCAAACTTGCGACGCAGAGGAACCCTTCGCCACCGGAGGGTGGACGGTGCCCGCCTTGGACCACGTGGAGGTGGTTCCTCTCTTGAGCCATACCTGCCTCCCCCCCCCGAAAGACAACAGTACGGCGGGGGGGGGGGAGGGATGTATGTATGTACGTACATACCGGTGCTGTCGGACCTTAGTACTTTAGAACGTTGGTAGTACCAGTAGGTAGGTAGATGGGTAGGTAGGTAGGTGGGTAGGTAGGTACGTAGAAAGAAATTTATGGCAGGGGGGGGAGGAGGTATGTATACGTACGTCAGTACGTTAGCACATTAAAACGTAAAAGTACGTGCTCGAAAAGATTTTTGGCAGGGGGGGAGGTATGTATGTGCGTACGTTAGTATTTTAGTGCGTTATTACGTTAGTACGTTAGTACGTTAATTCGTTAGGTTGTAGCTGGGTTGTAGTAAGTATAGTACGTTAGTACGTTAGTACGTTAGTACGTTAGTACGTTAATACGTTAGTCAGCAGTACGTTATAGTGCGTTAGTACGTACGTTAGTATGTTACTACATGACATTAGTACGTGCGCATGTAGGTACGTTCGGACCTGAGTACTTTATTAGTAGGTTGGCAGTACGGTAGGTACTTTAATACTGTAGAACGTTGGTAGTACCGTGGTAGGTAGGTAGAGAGGTAGGAAGGTACGTAGGAAAAATTTCTGGCAGGGGGGGAGGAGGTATGTATGTACGTACGTTAGTACGTTATTACGTTAGCACGGTACTACGTTAGTACGTTAATACGTTAGTACGTATGTACGATCGGACCTGAGCACTTTAGTACGTTGGCAGTACGGTGGGTAGGTAGGTACGTACATACCTTCCACCCCCCCGAAAAAAATTTGGTTAGGGGAGGGAGGGAGTCATGTATGTACGTACGTTAGTACGTTAGTACGTTAGTACGTTAGTACGTTAGTACTTTCGCACGTTAGTACGTTGGTACGTTAGTACAAGTATGTATGTATAGGTACGTACATATAGAGGTGCCTTGGGACCTTAGTACTGTAGTTGGTAGTAGGGTGGTAGGTAGGTAGGTAGGTACCTACGTACATACCTTCCTGCCTCCCTCCCCCGAAAGACAAAAGTACGGCGGGGAGGGAGGTATGTATGTATGTACGTACATACAGGTGCCGTCGGAGTACTTTAGAACGTTGGTAGTACGGTGGTAGGTAGGTATAGATGGGTAGGTAGGTAGGTAGGTAGGTAGGTAGGCACGTAGAAAAGAAATTTTTGGCAGGGGGAGGGAGGAGGTATGTATGTACGTACGTTAGTACGTTAGTACATTAGTACGTAAGTACGTGCGCAAAACTTTTTTTGGCAGGGGGGGAGGGAGGTATGTATGTACGTACGTTATAGTACGTTAGTACTTTAGTACGTTAGTACGGTCGTACGTTAATTAGTACGTTAGTACGTTAATACGTTAGTCACTAGTACGTTAGTACGTTAGTACATCAGTATGTTAGTACGTGCGCATGTAGGTACGTTTGGACCTGAATACTTTATTAGTACGTTGGCAGTACGGTAGGTACCCTTGGTACTTTAGAACGTTGGTAGTACGGTGGTAGGTACGTAGAAAAAACTTTTGGCAGGGGGGGAAGTATGTATTTACGTACGTTAGTACGTTACTACATTAACGTACGTAAGTACGTGCGCAAAAAAAATTTTGGCAGGGGGGGAGGGAGGTATGTATGTACGTACGTTAGTACGTTAGTACGTATGTACGTTCGGACCTGAGCACTTTAGTACGTTGGCAGTACATAGGTAGGTAGGTACGTACATACCTTGCTGCCCCCACGAAAAAAAATTGGTAGGGGGGGAGGTATGTATGTAGGTATGTGTCCGTGTATGCGTGTCTGTCTGTATGTCTGTACGTATGTATGTATGCATGTATGCATGTATACGTATATGTCTGTCTGTATGTATGTATGCATACGCTCGTAGGCTGTCATGCAGGCAGACAGGAAGGCAGGCAGGCACAAGGAGCGAGGTAGTAGGTGGGTGGGTGGGTCGGCAGTAGGGGTGGCTGGTAGCTTAAATATAGAGAGGTCGACAGCCAGGTGTAGCAGGGCAAGTAGACGAGTAGCGGGCCATGTGGCGGGTAGGCCATGCAGAGGCTAGGACTGGGCTTGCAAACTTGCAGTCGAGGACAGCCAGTGACGCGAAGGACGCCGGAGGCAGCCGAAGTCCAGGCACCTGATGCAGGTACGACGCTGTGTGGGGCAGGGTGCATCGCTGCAACGCAGGACAGGAAGCTTTGGTGGGCAGATTTCCCCCTGTGCAGCTGGGTTGCCATGGTCTACATACAGGCTCTGGCACCCGTCACGACAAGCCGTCAGAGCAGAAGGAGCAAGCGGCGCGACCCGAAGCACGTGCCGCAGGAGAAGAGCTGGTCCCCCTTCAAGTCCGTCAATATCACGACCTTCTGCTCTTTGCTTGGGTCAGGGACCCAGCCGCAGCCCACAGCGACGGCTGTCGGAATTCTTGCTTGCACCTTGTGCACGGTCCCACTGTCCACATTGACGATG